CCCTAAAAAATGAAATGTATTAATTAATAAAAGATTGAAAATAAGAATTAGACAAAAAATAAATAAGGAACAAAAATTAAGGAGTTTAAGTATAATTAAAATGTGGTATAAGTATCCAATTAAAAATAATATTACAACGAAAAAATTGGGGTGTTTAAGTTCAATTAAAATGTTGTGTATCTATCTATTTAAAAAATAATATCCGGCGATTATCTGTTTCAGACTATGATCTGATTTTTTTTTTCATGCCACTGGTCTCAAATCTCAATTGACGCATAAACTCTAAACTTTATATATCGATAAATTATAATTGCATCAAAACAGAGATAAGGATTCACGAGAAGCAATCAATCAAGAAATGGCAGTGAATCCTAGGGTTTTGAAGGCAGGGCTGGGGATGATGGCAGTGTGCTTGGCAGGATACATAATTGGCCCACCTCTGTATTGGCACTTCGTGGAGGGATTGGCTTCTGTAAGCCGCTCTTCCTCTTCTTGTGCTCCGTGCATCTGTGACTGTGATTCTGAGTCACTTCCATCCATCCCCATAGGTATGTAAAATTGATACATACACGCATGTGTGTGTAGCGATGTATATGTCTACATCTTTTTAGATCTCTTGTTGGGAAGTGTTGATTTTCGTCTGTGATCAACTAAGCAGGCTTACATGTGAATTTCAACATTTACGTAAATTTATAATGAAACGGATAACTTGGGTATGTATATTTCTCGCGAGATGTGACTACTGTAGTGCTGTTTAATATAGATAAAATTTTGTTTCTATTCGTATGATACCCACATAGAAATATGCTTGGAAGTAAGGGAGGCTACGAGGTGAGTGAAGATGAGAAAAGCAACAAACCTTTATGGAAATTTTGTATTGTGGACATGTTTGGGTGGTGTGATTATAACATGGCAAAAATTGTTAAATGATATCTTAAAAGAGTAAGAGGATGCGAATGAGTGAAAAAAAGAATGTTATGGTGCCAATTTTTAAGAATAAAGGACACATTCAAAATTGTCTAATTGCATCAATGTTAAGCTCGTGAACCATACTATAATATAAGAGTAATGAGCATTTGAGCATAGATTAATTTGTAATTCAAAGTACTTAAAGAGAATCAGTTTGTTTTTATACTAGGGAGTTCTAACGAATTCCTGCTCAAGAGATGAATCAACAATTACAGAGGAAATAAACTAGATCTGTAATTATTTCTGTTGGTTTAGGAAATCCATGTAATAGGGCACCTACTAAAACTAAAATGTTATTCTGAGTTTTAAAGGGAGAAGAAAATTCTATGGATACATTGATATTATTAAAGCTATGTACAATACATATTCATGAGTCTGAGATGTGGTGGTGGTGGTGATAGTAGAGGATGTCCTATCACTAAAGAGTTCGCATCAAAATTCTTACTTAAGTCCTTGCTCTTCGTTAGAGTCATGGATGAGTTATGAGACATATCCAAGATGAGATTCCTAGGTGTATGCTATTAATTGGTGACTTAGTTTTGGTTGATGAGACGAAAATATTAAGTAGTGACTTTGGAAGGATGTAATGCCAAAAAATATAAGGAAAATATT